TTGAACCAATCGGGGTGTTTTCTATGACATAAATGTGAAGCACTGGCTCCACAAATCGAGGAGGATTGTCATTGACATCAGCGACACTGACTGTAACGATTTTCATACTGGACAAAGGCGGACTTCCCTCATCTGTTGCTATTATGGTGATATTATGAGCAGAAATATTTTCTCTGTCCAGCTGTCCGTCAACTATTAACGAATAGTCATTTTTGTAATTGGACTTTAGCTTAAAATGAACAGATCCAACCACGCTGCATTTAGTTAAACCGTTGTTCCCGCCGTCTTTATCGACCACTGTTATTAAAGCAACTATCGCTCCTAATTTTGCGTCCTCTCTTATTGGTGTCACTAATGATGTCACTAATATTTCTGGAGCATTGTCATTAATATCTATCACCTCTATTAGTAATTTAGCATGCGCACTACGAGAGGAGGCTCCCTGATCCTTTGCTTGCACTCTCAGCTCATAAGCAGGCGTTTTCTCAAAATCAACGCTACTCTTCAAAGTAACTGTTCCAGTTTCAGAATCCATACCGAATACTTTAGTTAGGTCAGAATTACCTCGTCTTAGAAAAGAATACACGATCTTACCATTCATGCCTTCGTCTAAATCAGTGGCATTTAATTTTATCAATACAGTCCCCGTTGCTGTGTCTTCATTTACACGTACTTTATAAAGAGATTTACTGAACATCGGCGTGTTGTCATTAGCATCTATTACATTTACATGTATCTGTAATGTGCCAGATCTCCCTGGTATTCCTCCATCCACAGCGGTCAGGATGAGTTTAAGCTCTGGCTGTTTCTCCCGATCTAAAGCTTTCTCAAGCACAAGCTCAGCAGATAAACCATCTTCACCGGTGCTTTGAACATCGAGTGAAAAATGTTCGTTCTTATCCAGCTTGTAGCTTTTCACTGCGTAGTTCCCCATGTCTGCATCTTCTGCGACTGGCAGAAGAAAGCGCTCTCCCGGTGACACGGATTCAGAGATGTTCAGAAAATACAAATGCTCGTTAAAGTCGGGCGAGTTGTCATTAATATCTAAAACGTTCACTTCAATGCGGTGTACAACCATCGGGTTCAACAAAACTGCCTGTATTCGTAGAGAGCATCGTTCGGTGTTCGGACATATCTCCTCTCTGTCGATCCTGTCGTTAACAAATATATCTCCGGTCCCTAAATTTACGTCAAAATATTTCTTACTGTTACTCGAAAGAATGCTCAAATCTCGGTCCTCCAGTTCTTGCACATCTACGTTCAGATCCTTTGCGATATTGGCCAGCAAGGTCCCTTTGTTCACCTCCTCGGAAATGGAGTAAGATAAATGCGAAGCACCGCATTCACAAAGACAAAGCAGCACAATCCAACATATCCAGGAGCATTTCTCGTTCCCCATCCTGAACAATGAACGCATAATTCCTTGTATCCCAGTTGATCCAGTATGTTTTATATATCTCCCTCGTCAGTAGAAATACCATCATCAACAGCAACTTTTTTTTTCTTTTACCACGGCACAATGGACAGTCTCTGCAAACGCATAACCAATTGGTGTTTTCGCTCCGCCGTGCAAAGGTGGAGTTTACACGGGCTGTAAAAAAATGTACCGACGGTCTCCAGCGACATCTTGTGGGAGTTTGAAGTAGACATGAGTAGACTAATCATACATTTTAATTCAGGCTCTTCCCGACGCTTTGAGTACTTTAAAATTTAACGGAAAATAATTACCCTTTAAATCTTGTCATTCTGCGGACTTTTCTAATCACATTGTATTGAAGCAACAGATAAATATCTCCGATGCATTATAAGAAGAAACAAACTCAATGTTATGAAATAGTAAAAGCATGCTTCATTTTTTTAACAAAATATTTGACCAATCTACCATATCAATCTAAAATGATCAGGTTTCGTAGTTTCCATGTTTGATTTGAAATAGGTGACTGTTTTCAGTACCATGGAGAGGTTCATACACTCATGGATATTCTCTGGAGTCACCTTATTTTCAGATGATCACATAAAAAGTCAAAATAGTTACTAATAAGAGCACACTAATGCATCTGTAAAAAAAACTGAAACACATGACAAATTACACAGTATATTTGCATTGATGAAAAGGCAGCAAAGTGCAGCATGCTAATGGCAACGATCTACATACCAATGTCGCACAAAAATGAAGCTAATTACTTACGATTAGTCAGTAACGAACATCAACAAAAGGAACACTGAGCACCAGCAGTAAACATCCACTCACTGAATTCACATTAAAGTGCAGAAAATTTCGCAACTAGATTGGACCCTTATTATAAACACCAAAAAAAAAAAAAAAAAAAAAGCGACAAAAAGTGCTCAACACAACTTAGCATCACAAAATGTTGGTGGTCCAGCAACAAGCTAAATAATCCAAATTATTGCTGTACTGGAAGTATATATTAACTTGATCTGACCTGTTCATTTCATTCATGTACTTATTTAAGCAAAAATTCAGGAGCACATGTATCTGAAAGTAAAGAAAAAGCTCGCTGTTGTTGCTTGAATATATATTAGAGAGAAAACGGAAAGTTTGAAGTTAGAAAAGAAAAGCACAAACATGTTAAAAAGCAAAAGCCTACCTTTTCTGTGTTTGGTAAAGTCTGAGTTCTGGTAAAAGTATCACTCCCGTTAATACTGATCAGTTCAGCATCTACAGGTGGAAACGGGGCGGGGAAAACCACTACGTCACTCTTCAGTGTGTCTGAGCTGAAACACACGTCATACTGCTGAGTAGCTTTAGAGTAAGCCTAGCTCCCGTCAGGGTGGGTGGTGATCATGGGAGCGCTGTACCTGCTGAAATCACTGTCTGTCCTGTGACATTTGACAGCTATTAAACTGATGAGACTCAGCAGAAAGATCACAGACACTGACACGATGGCGATCGGTAGAAACAAGTTCAAATCAGAGAAGTTGTCCTCCTTCATAGGCACATGTCTGAACTGAGTCTGGACATCAGCTGTGGTTTCAACAACCATCACATCAATAGAAACAGTGGCTGACAGAGAAGGTTCTCCGTTATCAGAAACTAATATCAACAATGAATGAGTTTTCAGGTCATTGTCGCTCATTCTCCTCTTAGTCCTGATTTCTCCGGTGCTGGTTCCGATCCTGAACAAGTTGTTTCCTTTGGGCTCAGACAGGTGATAAGAAAGCAGCGCATTGTATCCAGAATCTGCGTCCACAGCCCTGATCTTTGCTACAAAGTATCCCGCTTCAGCAGAATAAGGGATGGTCTCACTGTTAACAGAGCCGTGCTCAGAATAAGGAGCTAAAATCGTTGGATTATTATCATTTTCGTCGAGAATTAAAACATTAACAGTCACGTTGCTGCTGAGCGGAGGAACACCAGAGTCTGTAGCCTGAACTTTAAATTGTAATGTTTTCAACTCCTCATAGTTGAAAGATTGTAACGCACTAATTTCACCCGTTTCTCCGTTTATATGCAAAGTAGCTGAAAGTGGTGTTTTCGCAGGATTTTTATCAACTAAAGAATAAGTAATTTTAGCATTTTCGTTTGCATCCGCATCCTGTGCTGTGGCCTTTGTGATTATTTGTCCAACTTTACTGTTCTCTTTCAGATACACATTTATATCACCTTCTGGAAATCTAGGTGCATTGTCATTGACGTCAGAAATATACACTTTGACTACAGCAGTACTAGTGAGCGGTGGGCTTCCTTCATCTAGAGCAGTAATAGTCAAATTATGAACGGATACTGTCTCCCTGTCAAGAGGACCGTCAATTAATAATGAATAATAGTTCTTGTAGTTTGACGTTAATTTAAATGGGACGGAGTCTTGGATTTTACAACTGGTGAGGCCATTCGGTCCTCCGTCCTTATCGCTCACTGTTACCAAAGCAATGACTGTTCCAATCGCCGCATCTTCCTGCACAGTACTCATCATGGACGTTATCGAGATTTCTGGTGCATTATCATTAATATCAACAACCTCGAGCAACACCTTAGCGTAACCACTCCTGGGGGATGCGCCTTGATCTGTTGCGCGCACTCTTAATTCATATACATTACTTTCCTCGTAATCCAAATCAGCTTTCACAATAATTTCACCGCTGTCCGGAATAACACTGAATTTCTTAGAAGAGTCTACCGTTCCGCCTCCCATTAAAAAATATGTGACGTCTGCATTCGGACCCTCGTCTAAATCAGTTGCATTTAATTTTAATATTGTTGTACCCACCGGTATGTTTTCGCTGACACTTACTTTATAAAGCGAATTACTGAACAAAGGTGAATTATCATTGGCATCTATCACGTTTACGAGAATTTGCATGCTGCCAGACTTCAAAGGTTTTCCTCCGTCCACGGCTGTCAGGGTCAGTTTCATTGTGGATTGCTTTTCTCTGTCTAAAGCTTTTTGCAGAACCAACTCGGCAGACACGCTGTCGCGACTGCTGCTGACATCTATCGAAAAATACTCATTTGGACTAATTTTAAAGGTTTTGACTGAATTAATGTCAGTATCTGCGTCGTGAGCCGCTGGGAGAGGATATCTTTCCCCCGTCGAGGATGATTCAGAGATATTAAACACATGGATTTTCTCTGCGAATGCGGGTGCGTTATCATTAATATCCAGGATGTTTACTTCAATGCGATATATGTTCATGGGATTGCTAAGGATTCCCTGTATGTTTAAGGGACACTTGGGTGTATTAGGACAAAGCTCTTCGCGGTCGATCCTGTCGCTTACAAATAACGCTCCTGTTTTTAAATTAGCTTCAAAATACGTCTTACTATGTCCAGATACAATTCGAAATCCTCTTTCCTCCAGTTGCTGTGCGCTGACGTGAAAATCCTTAGCAATATTCCCGACCACTGTCCCTTTGTCCACCTCCTCGGAGACCGAGTAGGAAATCTGAGCGGAGGAGCAATCAAATAAACAAAGATAAATGGCGAGCAGCATCCATTCGGCATCTCTTTTCTGTTTCCGATCCATTGTTGTACAAAATGGTCAATCCAAACTAAACTCCTTTATTTAAAAAACGGCAAAAAAGAACAAAAAATACGTCCAACATCTCCGAGTCTCGAGACCATCTCTCCCCACAACGACGTTTGCAAATCCAAACCAACACCAAGTACTGAGTGGTTCAAAATCCAGTCAAAGGAGGAGTTTCAAATTATTAGACGAGCATGAGGGAATGCATGGTCTCGGGTGACATCTTGTGTCCGATATACAGACTTTCATAGATTAACAATAATAATGAAAACCCTGGTAAAATCAGTCAGGTGTTTTTTTTTTTTTTTTTTTGTTTTTTTTTTTTACCGAAGAAACATCAAGAAAATATAGCTTCCGGTCAGCCTAGTAAGATTTACGTGAGTTGATAAGTATAACCTTCAACCACACAGTGTGAAAAGCCTAAAATATAGTGACCGCTTTAGAAGAAAAGCACAAATAGATGAAATGGCTGGAGAGAAATGCTACGACTACTAGTAGAAGTAATAATAATAATAATAATAATAATAATAATAATAATAGTTAATACAGCTCTTTGTAGTTATTTTTATAAATAATTTAACCAGTAGTCATATTCACATTGTATTACAGCACCATGGCTAGCGCCGTTTGCGACGATTGGTGGACCACAAACGAACTAGTCAAAAAGGTAAAGTCACAACTATGGCAGATTTCACTTTCATTTAAAGGTGAATTTATTGTAAATTGACTGATGATGAACATTTCTTATCGATGTTTGTCAGCTTATTAGGAAAATAGAAAACCAGTATACGTTTCAAATTTTAGACATATGAAAATATTACATCCGATGGAAGTTGCAGCAAGAAAATCGACTTTTACCATTTAAAAAAATGTATAGTTTTGAAGATAACTCACCTTATCTTTGTTTGGTAAAGTCTGAGTTCTGGTAAACGTATCACTCCCATTTATACTGATCAGTTCAGCATCTACAGATGGAAACGGGGCGGGGAAAACCACTACGTCACTCTTCAGTGTGTCTGAGCTGAAACACACGTCACACTGCCGAGTAGCTTTAGAGTAAGACCAGCTCCCGTCAGGGTGGGTGGTGATCATGGGGGCGCTGTACCTGCTGAAATCACTGTCTGTCCTGTGGCATCTGACAGCTATTAAACTGATGAGACTCAGCAGAAAAATCACAGACACTGACACGATGGCGATCAGCAGATACAAGTTCAAATCAGAGAAGTTGTCCTCCTTTATAGGTACATGTCTGAACTGAGTCTGGACATCAGCTGTGGTTTCAACTACCATCACATCAATAGAAACAGTGGCTGACAGAGAAGGTTCTCCGTTATCAGAAACCAGCACCACCACGGAGTGAGTTTTCAGGTCATTGTCGCTCATTCTCCTCTTAGTCCTGATTTCTCCGGTGCTGGTTCCGATCCTGAACAGGTTGTTTCCTTTTGGCTCAGACAGGTGATAAGAAAGCAGCGCATTGTATCCAGAATCTGCGTCCACAGCCCTGATCTTTGCTACAAAGTATCCAGCTTCAGCAGAATAAGGGATGGTCTCACTGTTAACAGAGCCGTGCTCAGAATAAGGAGCTAAAATGGTTGGATTATTATCATTTTCATCGAGGATTAAAACATTAACAGTCACGTTGCTGCTGAGCGGAGGAACACCAGAATCTGTAGCCTGAACATTAAACTGAAACGTTTTTAACTCCTCGTAGTTAAACGACTGCAGATTTATAATATCTCCTGTATTTGAGCTAACTGTGATCATCGAACTAATCTGCGTATTTTTCGGAGAATTAAGTAAGCTGTACGTTGATTTAGCATTTTCATCTGAATCTGAATCAAACGTAGTTAGCCTGTGAATCGTTGTTCCAGTTTGGATGTTCTCTTTTACAAACACGTTTATTAGAGAATCAGGGAATCGAGGAGGATTGTCGTTTACATCAGAAACCTCAAGCGCAATTACAGCTGCTGTCGAGAGCTCAGGTGATCCCTCATCTGTTGCTTCAATTGATATATTATATTTGGAAATATTTTCTCTGTCGAGTGGTCCATCGACCAACAAAGAATAGTAATTTTTATAATTAGATTTTAATTTAAATGGAACAGAACCTGTTATCTTACAATTTATTTGACCATTGTTGCCTCTGTCTCTATCAGTCACCGTCACCATCGCAACAGCCGTGGCTATTTCAGCGTCTTCCTTTATTGGGCTCATAAGGGATGACACCAATATTTCTGGAGCGTTGTCATTAACATCAATCACTTCGACTAAAACTTTGCTATGCGCACTGCGTGGAGGACTGCCTTTGTCTCGTGCTTGAACACGAATTTCAAATGCTCGGTTTTCCTCATAATCAATGTTGCCTTTAACTATAATCTCTCCGCTGTTGTTATTAAGGGAAAATATTTCTTCTGGATTTAATCGCGCCCCCTCTGTAAAGGAATAAACGATCTGACCATTGACACCCTCGTCTAAATCAGTGGCACTCAGTGTTAATAAAGTTGTGCCCACATTTGCATTCTCAGTCACTTGTACTTTGTAAAGAGGCTTACTAAATACGGGCGAATTGTCGTTTACGTCCAAAACATTCACTTTTATCTGTAAAGTTCCTGCTCTAGGGGGTTTTCCGCCATCGACTGCAGTCAGAATCAGCTCGATCACGGGCTCTTTTTCTCTATCTAATGCTTTTTGCAGTACTAATTCAGCAGATGCACTCTGGTCACCAGCGCTTTGTATATCTAATGAGAAATACTCATTTGTGTTTAGCTTGTACGTCTTCACCGAATTAGTTCCCACATCCGCATCATGAGCCACTGGGAGCGGATGTCTCTCCCCAACATGCGAAGCTTCAGATATATCAACTGTAATCGCTTCCTCGAGAAAAAAGGGAGCGTTGTCATTAATATCATTTATCAAGACCTCGATTCGGTGGAGGCTGCGAGGGTTGCTCAATATGGCCTCGATGTTTAAAAAACATTTTGCCAGATTCGGACAGAGCTCCTCCCGGTCTATCCTTTCGCAGACGAATATTGCTCCGGATTCACGATTTATGTCGAAATACCGTTTTTTGTACCCAGATGCCATTTGGAGGTCCATGTTCTGCAGCTGCTGCACACTGAGGTTTAAGTCCTTCGCAACGTTTCCAACCACTCTGCCTTTGTCCACCTCCTCGGAAATGGTATATGATATCTGAGCCACGGACCGGTCACAGAAACAAAAAAGGGTGAAAATCAGGATCCACATGTTATCCCATCGTGTCCGAGCCGCCATCGCTTTTCAAAAGAATCCCCACACGTTCTGCTTTAGTGCTTAAAAAAGCATGTTTTTCTTCCATATATCCATTCTTGCAAAAGATCCTCACTCGCTACGGTTCTCGCTCATCTGCGAGGCGTTTTCACAAAGCAGCTCCCGATGATGACGTCGTAGCTTTGTCTTGAATATGGGAGGAGTTTCCATCATATTAAAACAGCTTTTGTTGCACGGTCTCTTGCGACACCTTGTGATTACTTAACTGTACAACAAACTAATGTACAACAGTTGTACAACAACTGTACAACAATTTGTTTGGGCAACTGCGCAGCAAAATATCTTCTGTTGGAATAGAGGTACTTTTATAAAAATGCTAAATTAGTAAGTTAGGTAATTTAAAAGCCAAAAACACAAACAAGTCACTGGTTAAAAAAAGAAAAGAAATCGCACTCAGCGTACTAAGTTGAACGACACAGCGTCAGCACCAAGAACAGCTCTTCACTCTCAACACAAACTGCAGCGAAGAGGCAAACAACTGTCAGAACCATGGACAGCGCATGGACAGAATTCCAGCGTCTTTCTGCCACTTAATTACTTTGATTTATAACAGACAAAATGAAAACAATATATATATATATATATATATATATATATATATATATATATATATATATATATATATATATATATATATATAATCTGTTGTTTTGTTGTTTTTTTTTAAATATAGAGTTTCTGAAACTCTGGCTAAATAAAGGCTTCCTGAAACTTCACCATTAATTTAATTTAAACATTAATAAAAACATAAAGAATGAAGCAATTGTGGATGACTTTAAAACTTCCTCAATATGGTAAAACGGTGAGTATCATTGACATGTTATTAATTTGTTGAGTGAATCTAAATTATTGCCTTATCAAAGGAAATACTCAAACCACAGCTCCAATAATCGTCTGGACAGTTTGGTCTTGTAGCTGATTTTTTTTTTTAACACATTGCTTTTAAGCAAAATTAAAATTGACTCAACACGTGTGCACTACTTACCTTCTCTTTGTTTGGTAAAGTCTGAGTCCTGGTAAAAGTGTCTGTTCCGTTAATACTGATCAGTTCAGCATCTACTGGAGGAAATGGTGCGGGGAAAACCACTACGTCACTCTTCAGTGTGTCTG